AAATGATATTTTCACACGTAAAAATATCGTATTTTTTACGTGTGTTTAAATACGATTTTTCTCAGTGGCCAAAAACTCTATATAACACTTACGTTTATATAATAAATATTTATAAGCAGAATAATAGATTGTGTATGAAATTCCTACAAACTTCCAGATGAAGGGTCTCTAGACGTCGAAGTTCTCTTTATATATTTTTCAGGTAGTCTATGTAATCGCCCATTCAAGCTATCGAGTTTATCAGCATGAGAATGTATTATTTCCATACTTCCTTTACCATCAGACTGACTGGCGATGATTTTGTAATGAAATCGAAATATAACAGCCTAATTACCTTGTTTTATAAAATGTTGATCTTCGGATTATTTTTTGTATTTTATACTTTTTTTTAAAATTGTCCGATTCTACATGTTGTTATATGCTACGAGAGTTGGGGATGATAGCGGTGTGTCACATAATTGAATAATTAAAACTGATTTTTCGTTTCCGCTTCTTAATTTGGTCTGAACTTGAACTTGCGCCCACAGTTTTACACTATTTATGCTGTTATATTAAAATCTTAAATCTCGACCTCGAATCTTTGGCTTGGCAAATAGGTATCCTCGTAAATTTGTATATATCTTTCGATGTCGAATCTCTTTTTACCAACGTGCCTTTGTGTAGAACAATTAACATAATCTTATAGATCGCGTCTATATACTGACCAAGAGACTACTCTCCGGAAGCCAACGCTTAAACAATTTATTCTCGATTGTTGCAACAAAACTATACCGTGATGGCGTTTTATCGGAACAACTCGATGATGGGGGTCGTCACTAGGACCCGCGCTAGCCCACATAATTCTTACCGAATTTGAAAATATTATTGTTGATCCGCGTTCCGATATTATTGTGCCAATTTTTCCGCGTTCGATCCAGTAAACAGGGGCGCCGGAGCCACGGGGGCAGCTGCCCCTGTTGCCTAAACAGTGCGGGGGCAGCACGGGGGCAGCAGGTTGCCTTTTTATCAAAACTGCACTTCGAACGTCATGCGTTTTTTTGCATGAATTGAAATTGAAAACTGTTTTTAAACAATTTAGCTCATATTTGAATCTGAATTCCTCTCAGAAACGTTACGAATCAGTTTCCACCTAATATATGAAAAAAAAGTAAAAAAGGAAACCTTCCTAAATAACTGATAACTGTCATGTTGCTTTATAATACATTTTAGTCTTTAGTGTCATGCAACAAATAAAACTTTTCCAATCTATGCCGAAATTTGTCTAACTGTATTAGGTACAAGTAATGAAGTATCCGTTATACAGCAAATTGTTAACGAGCATTGCCCCCCCCCCACACAAAAATTAAGGCTCAAGAGTAAGTGCCCTTTTCACATGGCTGCCCCCGCCGCTTCATGTTGCTTCCGGTGCCCCTGCAAATTCGTACGTTAGTTTGCAATTTTAAAAAACTCCCTTGCAAATCCCTTGAGTGAATTTGCAATGTTGCAAAAAGCCGATTAAATTTTCCTCAGTTCCTGTCAGAAGTTCCTAACTTCAAGCTGTTACAAGTTCCTAACTCCCTGTTCTGTTCTGTGTGTTGCAATTGGCTAACAAAAATAATCCACCAATGATAACACTCGGAACAGAACAGAACAGAACAGAACAGAACAGAACAGAACAGAACAGAACAGAAAGTCATTGAAATGAAGGTTTTTGCATTGGAATATTGCAATAGCCGATAGGACATTGCAAATTCCCAGTAATACCAAAATTTTACATCGTTCCAACAATAACAATCCTAACCGTAACATGCCACAACTTAATATAGTGGATTAAAAGCTTGTAAAAAATTGCCATTGTTCTAAACATCAATTAGCCTTACTCACGGAGGCCAAAATCCGCCATTTTGGGGGTACTGTCTGCCCTCGTAAGATATTCCAGAATACAATAATACAATACAATAATACAATACAATTTATTCACATTCTCTTACAGAACAAGTTACAAGTTAATGAATATTCTACTATTTTGGTGGTTTTTTTAGTAATAATCTTCAAAAGTAATACTAGAATATAATGTTTGTGGAACGAAATGCCTAGAGTCTAAATTAACCGAAAGGTTTTCTAGTTAGGCTCTAGATAGATATAGTATCAGTAAACGTAGCTTAGCATCGTATTTGGTAATAACATACATAGACAATAAAGACAATTAAAGACAAACACAAAAATACATCTAACAAAACGGTTTAGTATGAATATCTAGACTTCAAAAGTCATTTTGTTTGAGTAATAGGTATTGTTTTAGCTTTTTATTGAAGGTATAGCTATTTAATTGTTTGAGGTCAAAGGGTAAATGTTGCCATTCGCTTGTTGCCATTGCTGATATTGTTTGTTTCCCAGTATTTGTTCTAAAACAGGGTTTATAGAGATTATTTTTTGAGGCATATCTGGTGTTATATGTGTGAACATTTTTGGCATAGAGAAAGCAGGAATTGAAAATCGACGGAAGTTGCTGATTTTGCCAGTTGTGAACAAATTTCAATATATTCAATTTATATATATATTCAACTGTAAGAATATTTAGAAGATTTATTAGTGGTAGGGGTTTTTCTGTATTTTTACCATATAAGGTAGCAAAGAATATAATTCTTACGACATGATTTTGTTTGGTTTGAAGTTTTTTTATATGTGTTTTATAGGCACTTCCCCAGGCAATAATGGCGTAAGAAAAATAGGGATAGATAAGGTTATAATAGATTTGTCTAAGTTGTATTGGAGAGAAAAAATGACGGAGTTTGTAAAATACTCCAGTATTTCTTGATATTCGAGAGCAAACAAAGGAAATATGATATTTCCAATTTAATTTATCATCTATCATAACTCCTAAAACCTCCTTCGAATAAATTCTATATCATTATTGATATAAATTCCAACACCACCGGCACTTGTTTGTGAGGGCTTGCTGAGGAATCTGTATCCCGGAATTGAAATATTGCTATTGCTATTATCACTTAGTTTAGTTTCTGAGATTGCTATAAAGCTAGGCATTTCCTTGCACATTAATAAGATATCATTAAGCAAGTTTAGGTTTTTGCCTAGACTACGTATGTTACAGTGAAATATAGAATAGCCTTTGTTATCTGTTTGTAAATACTTTGAGGTTTGTTTCATATCAAAATATTTTGATTCAATTTTATCAAGTATTTGATCGTCATAATTCTCGTTTGCTGGAATGCTGGTCTGTTTGAGGAATGCTGGTCTTAGTAGTCATCGGCCGGGAATGTTTAACAATTGAAAATGGCCACTATCGAAATTTTCCCCGGTGATGACTATTAAAACCAGCATTCCTCGCGGGTGTCAAGCCTTGTTACGTCATTATGAATAAGGTCTATTCTATGGTCGTTTTGTAACAATGGTTTTGTCGTAGGATGAGAGACTGTGCTCTGTAGGTACGGAATTTTTTGCTCAAAATACATCTGGTATGCTGCTACTTTTGTGATAAGAAAATTGGCCCTATTAAAAACTCGTAAAAGCAAAAACCGCGAAAATACAAATGTAATACAAATCTATAGTAAAATTGGGCCATTAAATCGGGTGACAGCAATTTTGCTTCCGTTTTTACTTTTTGCACGAATTTATTAAGATGGAGAATTTGACAAAAAAAGTTGAAGTCTGCTATATGCTGACCTTGAATGAGTTCTGGAAACAAACAATATGCGCATGACGATGTCATCAGTTGTTTAACCATAAATAAGCTCAACATTCAAATTCTTTCATCCATTGTCTATTTCGAAGCCAATGGTGTCATTCTTGACACCACTGCATGACCTGCACAACATAGGCAATTGCAAACAATGTACGGTACAGAATTGCAATGTAACAACGCAGTATAGGTAAATTACACATGTCTGCTTGAACTTACCGGTTCTGATACATAACTTGATCAGATTGAAGGTTTTAACATCCAACTTCGGGGAAAACTGTTTGAAAGATTATTAAAGTTCAGTTGCCTAGAAGTGATGCTTGATAAACAGGTTTATGGAAAGAACACAATGAATTAATCTGCAATAAAGTGTGCAGTGGCGTAGCCAGCCCGATAATTTAGTCCCGCTATGCAAATTCAAAATTATTATCATTATTTATTTCTTTATAAATTGATTGTTTTCACAGTCAATGAACACGAAAATATTTGCATAGCGGGACTAAGTCGGGCTGGCTACGCTACTGAAAGTGTGTACAAAATGTGTGTACAATTCATTAGTGGAACCTATTTTGATTACTTATATCGTTTGGTCCGAGCTATCTGCTGGGATCCGAAGTTCTCAAAACCTACAAAAACTGCAAAACCGTGCGACACGAATAATAGACAGATTTAGATCGCGGACGTCAAAGACGACGTGAAAATGGCGTTGACCCTGCTTACTCTTCCATCGTCCTCTAACAAGGCTTTCGATACGCGACCAACTTTCCATTGACCACGAACACTGTTGGAGTCTTGAATAATGCCAACGTCTCATACACACACGTTTCGTTTATTAACATGCCATTTCTTTCGGACTAATAGGCTTGGGAAATAATCACGAATCCATCGTTTCCAGAACGCATTCGCCAATTTATCACCATCCATTGGCGATTTTGGGAAGTCTTCGCTTCACATTTTTTCAATTTGCTCTTTAATTATAAACTCTGACCATCTCTTCCTTTTGCTTGAGTGCGTTCTTTGCTTCCTCGAAGTCGTCTTTCAATATCAAAAACTCGCTGCTTAACGTCTCTGTTTTGTTAGAAGCATTGTCAGCAGCGTCACTCATTTTCTATTTGAGATTGCTGACTTGGCCTTTTAATTCTTAATTAAATTTCTATTTCTAAATTCTTTTTCACTTCAGTTAAAGTATTAATTAAACCACTACTGCTGGTTTTGTCTTTTAAAGCTACGTCTAGGTTAGACTTCAAAGTTGCTATTTTAGACTCCATCTTATGGTGATGTTCACCTTGTTGTCTGTTCGACTCAGCTGAATTCAAATGATTTATCTCTGATTCAAGCGAAAAACAATTTTCGGTGAAAGGCCATCCCGTTCTTTCAGTAAAGAGTCTCTCTCTGAAGTTATGTTATCGTTAACCGTTTTAAGAATTTCAAGCTGTTTATCCTGTTTTTCACACAACTGGATGGCATCGTTTCGTTCAGCCGTAATTTCGACATTACTTTGAGCTAGTTGCTCGCATTTGGTTTTGATCTCCTTATTTTTTTGTGATGTTGTATTAAGATTGTGTTCTAGTGTGCTATGGTCGTGTTGAGGTCTTGAGAGTTCTTCCGCGGCTTTATTTTTTTCGGATTTTACAGTTTCATATTCTTTGATTAAGTTACTACATTCCTCCTCCATTGGACTCAATCGTTCTCTTAATTTGTCAATTTCTTCATTTTTAGCTGTCTCCGGTAACGCAAGTTCTCTCTGCTGATCTTGAACCAAAACCTTTTGTATATTTTGCAAATCATTCACATTCTCTGTGAACGAGGTTACTTTCGATTGCAAAGCATCAACTTCGGAGCGATGAGCCTCTTTCATTAACGTTCAGTTTTTATCCACCTCGCCCCAGCTCTCAACTTCTTTTTCGATTTCCTTCTGTCGAGTCAACTGACTATTCAACTTGTATTCCAAATCATTCACCAGTTGTTGCTTCTTGCTCGCGTCTTTACAAAGGTGATCAGACTAATGGTTGCACCACCGTCACACAGTACATTTAATGGACCAACATTGGCAGTTGATTTTACTTTCATCACCTGCAGCAAGCAAATTCTCGATTCCTTTCCATCTGCGTCAGAACTTGTCCGGGAAGAATATGGTATATGGAATGCAACCCCTGAACATGGGCTATGTGTAAGGAATCATGGTGATATTATGAACAATTATCACTGTTGCATTTCTTGCGCTGTCTGCAGTCAATAGAGCGGTGACCAATATTGAGGCATGCATGACCAGCAAGCTCGCTTTTCCTTTAACAACTGGACTTTCCCCTCAGGCGTCATCTCTTGATATATTCTATAATCGGCCGTATTATGCATGTTAGAGCTGTGAACCAAGCACCTGGTCGTCTTTGTAGCTTCTTTGTCTTCAATTAACTTTCTATCCCGGTCAATCACATGGACACGATCTTTGCGAACATGATACCCTCCAATCCTCAGCTCTGAAGACTCGTATTTTATGATCTTTCTTTGTACTTGAAGGAATATATTGGAGAAGATACGGGAACTTATTTTTCTGTTCTACTTTGCTGGTTGACCTGTTGACTTCTCTAGACCATTCCCGCTTAATTTCACGAGGCAATCGTTCTTCGATTAAGCTGACTGTTCCGTTATTGGTTATTTCAGCTTCCAAGTTAATTCTGGCCAGATCTTGATAGCCTTTCTCAACCGTATTTGTAAACTGTAGAAATGATTGATCATCTCCTTCCTGTAAGTGCTTTATATTCTTATTATCATATAAAACCACATTGACTAAATATAGATGGTGTCAAACGCTTCACCCTCGAGACATGATTTGAGGACATATGCAACTTTTCCAGATTCCAACTCTGGTAGGATTTGTTATTCAAAATCTGATCGAAAACGAGGATAGTCTTGAATATTTCCACTGAATTGGGGTAATTTCATTAATTCTAGTTTCATTGTGCTTCTTCTCATTGCATTATCTTTGGTATCACTTTTCCGTTGAATAACATCACCGATTTTTTGAGATATTTGCGAGTAAATCTTTGGAAGACTCGTGAACCAGGCTATCTGATCAACAACTGTCTCAGCGTCAAATAGCAGAACATATTCGCCGTTATCCTTTTGCGCTCTTCGAGTTGACTTTTTAGCTCAGTTCTTGCCGTTTCAAGCATTGATGCTGACGAATTGGGTTTGTCTATCTTTACAGCTAATGTGACTTCAAGATTTTCCACTTCTTGTCTAAATGCGATTTCTTCAACTTTGCGGGCTTGTTCAGGTCGAAAAATGGCTTTATCGCCCTCTTTCTTACGAATTTGATCTTCTTTCTCTTTATAGCCTGCGTGCAGCCTGACTTTAAAGGGGGAAAAGTCGGTCTGCGAATCAGGGAACAAAGCCGTGTTCGCGCCATCTTTGAATTGCACGGATTTCTGTATTCATACGTGATTGGCTATTGCTCAGAAGCTTAACACACGCGCTTCGATTGGCCAGTTGTTAGTACATTCAGTTCAAACACATTCCAGAATGAAAAAATCGGGGATAAAAGCGCGAAGAGCATTGTTGTGTGTAATTTATGGACGAAGCCCATACAAAAGATGTCGGAAAGGGTTCTCATCGAGTGTTCTCAAGACGCCATTTTGCTAAGCACAGAGTGTCCCAAACCGCAAAAACTATTGAAATAACGTATTGTTGGAATTTGAATGCCTCAGCACTCTTCTGAACCCACATGTGCATCAAAGCTTGACATAATTAAATTGTATGCATGAAGTAACTGTTTAAGAAGTTGTTTACTGATTTAAAATTCCCAAGAGCGGTGTGCTTTACAACGGATATTTTAATTTCTTAATAAGTCAAACATTTAATATATGCACCCTGCCAATATTTTACGCATGTTTGCGTTCAGCTTAGTCAGCTAGTGTATTCAAATTGTAACAATGTGTTGAACAGAATATATTAACAATTGGCCAATCGAAGCGCGTGTATTAAGCTTCTGAGCAATAGCCAATCACGTTTGTATACAGAAATCCATGCAATTCAAAAGATGGCGCGAACACGGTATTGTTCCCTGATTCGCAGACTGACTTTTCCCCCTTTAAAGTTAGGCTGCACGCAGGCTATCTCTTTAGTGATCTGTTCTTGTTGCCGTTTGATTTCCCTTTGATCCTCTTCTACTGTCTTGAAGTATGCCAACGTTTGCCGTAACACGCAGTGGCGGCGCCAAATTATTTTTTTCCCCCCATTTTGCCCCCCTTCAAAAAAAATTATTAGCCACTAAGAGCGACTAAAGGCTACACAAGCGTCCTGTCGTTATCGTAAAATGTATGGCTTATAAGTTGTCATTACTCATTAGTGAATGCGCGTATACATGAAACTGTTTTTTACAGTTTCAATATTTGTTTGTAAATCTCTGAATGGTAAAACTTGCCAATACTCCAATAATACGTTTCAAAAAAAGACAAAAAAGCTTTAGTTTTGCAGAGTTAAATTCTCAAATGTGTAAGGCAATAATAAGATGAAAGTGACACGAAATTATTTGAATAAACCACATCGCATATATGGGGGGCGAATGTCCTAAAGAGGGGCGATATTCCTAGGGTATTCGCCCCACCCCCCTGGGAGGCGATATTCCTAGGATATTCGCCCCCGGGGGCGATATTCCTAGGGATATCGCCACGTTTTGAGGGGGGGGATTTCCTGGGGGGGCGACCTTTTTAAAAATTCTATCTTGCCCCCCCCCAAAAAAATTTGAGTTTGCCCCTCAAATGCCCCCCCCCCCAAATTTGGAAGGTCACTGGTAACACGTCATCGTAAACTTTATCCATTTGATCAATCCACCCATCCTCTTGCTCAACATCATAAGTCGTGTTCGAATTTTCCAGCGATTCTATGTACCCTTCGTGCTTCCTTTGGACGTCATCCTCGGGCCGCTTCAAAGCTTTAAACTACTCTCGATTAATGCAGCGGTATCTTTAGAGTTAATAGAGACGATTATTTTCTTGACGTTCCGATTAAATACGCGTTTCGCCGAAGTTCGAGCCAATTTACCCTCTGCTACCTCCAAAACCATGCCTGAGCGCCAATTTTTTAACAGAATCACTTTTCGTCGACTGGAAGCACAGACCCGAAGCCACTCGAAAATTCGCCGGATATCACTCTCATGTTTACTAAAATTCCAAGACTAATCCAAGTGTATATAAAATCCTTTAATATATTTCTTCAAAATACTTTCAAACGTTGTTTACTCACTTTCCTGCTGCTTACATGGACTTTGAATTTCCAGTGTTCGAAATGTTTCGTCTATTTTTGAGTGAAGCACACAATATCGTAAACAGTATTATGATAAGGTTTCAAATCTACGAACAAAATGTGAATGTACATGCTGAGGCCTCTCTATAAGTCCAAGTCAAGTTGCATATGTCTCACCAGCTTCTACAGTTCTCAACGGAGAATAAAACCAGTCAAAACAGTTGTCAATGGAGATAAATTTCAACCTAGAAGCTGTAAAAAAGAAAAATAAACCATAAAAATAGAACGCTATTTTAGATTTAGATTATTAGTACTGTATATGCAGTCGATAAAGTGCGTGTCAAAATACACATTGTGAAACCGAAATTTGAGTTTATAACATTGGCGACGAGGAATAAACAAAGTTAGTATGCCTCCTAAATCGAGAAAGGCGTTAAAAATCGAAGAATTCGAGCCAGACGAAGACATATTAGAAACCACATGCAAATGGAAATTGTGGAGACGAAGACTCGAGATTCAAATGAAATATTTGGACATCGTAAAGCCAGTCGATATGAAAGCAGCGTTGTTAGTTCATGGTGGTGACAAAATCCTTCCGATAGACGAGAACGGAGCTGAACCAGAAGGCGACTTGGACGAATACAAGAAGCTCATAGCGAAAATTGAGCATGTTTACGTGGCGAAAAACACGAGATTGCACGCGAGATTTAGATTTAACAAAGCCGTTCGACACTCGAATCAATCTACTGCTCAATACGAACTCGAAATTCGACGACTCGCTAAAGAGTGTGACTTTCACGTAACGAAAGCCTTCAAGCGAAAGCGTTTGCCTTCAGACGAAAGCCTTCAAGCGAAAGCGTTAGAAAACAACTGGACACTCGAAGACTTCTTAAAGTATGCGACTACAAGGCAAGACGTCGAAGCACAAAGAAACGAAATGAAAATGGAAATTAAGAAAGAATCACTCGAAGTACGAAGAGTAGCTGATAAAAGATTCTCGAGAGGAAAATCGCAAAAGCTGTGCTCGTTTAGAAATCGCGAAAACCCGAGAAAATCCGTCAGCGACGTGAAAGATAACAAAACCTGCACGAAGTGTGGTCGTGACAGATCACATTCTACATGCCCAGCTGCCAAAAAGGGCCAAAAAAGAATGTTTCAATTGTCGAAAGATTGGCCATTTCCGTGCACAGTGTTTCTCAAGAAAACCCGACAGCAGATCGAAGCAAGTAAAAGCTGATGGCTTGCATGGTGGTTCTGTGATGAATGATTTCCAACAAGATTCTGTCGACTCGTCTGATTCCGATCCTGAGTTTTACAAATGTGTGAGCGAGAAATTGGGCATACGGGCAGTAAAAGGACAAAACACTAGCAACATTTTGTTACCTGTTTACATCTGTGGAACCAAGATTATCGTTGATCCAGATACCGGCGCTGATGTCGACCTAGTCTCAGTTAAAGAATTCAAGAAAATTCATGAAGCAAATCCTGAAATCAAGAAACAAATAAAGAAACCAAAACAGATGATCTACGCCCTGAATGGTGAAGAGCTGGAAGCCATAGCTACAATTAAAGATGCAAAGTTGTCAAACAAGAACACATAAATACTCACTTATCTCTACGTTATTGAGGACGGCATTCATAAATTCCCATTATTATCAGAAAGAACACTGATGAATCTTGGTATGATTAAATACAGTGCTGAGGGGGAGATTGTGAAGAGAGTTGACTCGAGAAAGAGCGATGACAAAGAAGGAAAGTGTAAACCTGATAATAAAGTACCACAGGAAGACCTCAGAAAGATCCTGCAGAAACATAAGAAGATGTTCCAAGGTGTAGGGACATTAAAGAATCCTGAAACAGGAGAGCCAATCCTCACTTATATCGAGATGAATGCCGACGCCAAATCTGTCATACAACCTCCAAGTCCTGTCCCACACCATCTCGAAGAAAGAACCAGGAAGAAATTGGACTACTTCGTTCAAGAAGGGATAATGACTTGGACTAAACCAGGAGAACCGATTTCATATGCCAGTCCACTTGTCATCACACCAAAAGGAGATGATGATGTTCGCATCACTGCAGACTTCCGAGTGGCAAACAAAGGAGCATCGAGAACCCGCATTGTACCTGGTCTACGAGTAGACGAAATGTCGGCAACGTTTGGAGACTGCAAAGTGTTTTCACATCTTGAAATGAACAATGGCTACCACCAAATGAAAGTTGACGAGGATTCCAAGAAATATCTGGTAGTGACCACACCCTGGGAAAATTTGAAGCATGAAACGCTTGGATAGGGATAGATAACCAGCCAAGATGAATTCGACAGAGGAATAAATGAGATTCTAGCGGGAATTCCTCACGTAAAGAGTAATCGAGACGACTGTCTAGTTGGTGGGAAAGATCGAAACGAGCACAACAGGACACTCGACCTAGTCCTAACACAGACGCAAGACCATGGATTAACATTAAGATTGGAGAAATGTGAATTTGGAAAGGAGGAAGTCGAGTTCTATGGTGTCAGATTTACGGGAGAAGGAATCAAACCATCGAAGGCGAAAGTGAAAGCGTTGCAAGAAAGTGGAGAGCCCAGTTCAAACGAAGGAGTAAGAAGCTTTCTGCAGATGGTGGGATATATGTCTCAATTTATCACCAGCTTTGCCCAGATTGCCGCACCGCTGCGACAGTTAACGAAGTCAACCTCAACCTTCCATTGGGGACCTATAGAGAACAGGAAGCTTTCGATAGCTTGAAGAGCAGTTTGACGGAGCAAACAACCCTTTCCTACTTTGTTCCCGAAAGACCGATAATAATTTACGTAGATGCGGGAAAGAAAACAGAGAAATCGAGCAACGTTCTTGGAGAACTATGTGCCATTTTATGCCAGCAAGATGACGACGGACAGTGGAAAATGTGTCACGTAGCCAACCGTGCCCTAACTGACGTTGAGACAAGATACGGACAGACTGAGTTAGAAGCAGCTGCGATCAAGTTTGCTTGTGCTGACGCCCTTTATAAGTACTTGGTTGCAGCGCCAAAGTTTGAAATTTTTATGGATTGCAAACCGCTTATACATCTCTTCAACAATCCAACCTGAACGAGTACCCTTCCAGAATGGCAAAAGACGACAATTCCTAAAAGAAGTAATTCAAAGAAACCTCTGGAAGAAACACAGAAAAGATCCAAGAGTTTCAAGATACCTTGGAGTAGCATCCGACTTATCTGTTGTTGGAGAAATCATCCTGTGTAAAGACAAAGTAATTCCGCTTTTGAGCAGTCGAAGAAGATTTGTCGAGAAAGCACACAAGATTGGGCACTCGGGAGAGACCCACACGCTGAAACTTCTTCAGGAAAAGATTTGATTTCCTGGAATTGCTAAACTCTGTAAAGAAGCTGTATAGAATTGTCAACGCTGTCAAGTCACTCATAATCGCACTTATAATGAGCCTCTTCAATGAACACCATTCCCACCAGATTCTTGGCATACAATCTCTGTGGATTTCAAGGGACTATTCAAAGATGGAGCTTACGTCCTGGTCGGATATGATCTTTACAGCCGTTATCCTGTTGTAAGCTACTGCAGATCTACAGCGTTCTTGTGCGTGAACCGATTCTTGATTCGTGGTTTTCAACATTTGGTACAGTGAAGGAGCTGAAATCAGAGCGAGGACCTCTATTTAATGGACATGAATTCAATGCATATGCTTGCGAGAGAGGATTCATTCACAAACCGGTGAAACCCAGACATCCGAGAGGAAACGGTGAAGCTGAGAACTTCATGCAGAACGTGAAGAAGACGGAGAGAATTGCGAAACAAGAAAGGAAAAAATATCGCTGTCTCATTGAAGGAATGTTAAATGCTTACCGTGCCACACCGCATCCTGCTACAGGGAAAAGTCCATTCGTGCTCATGTTTGGGTGAAAAATGCGACTTGGAGTATTGCCAGAGATCTCAGAAACACCCGAACGTGATAACCACGCTGAAGTCAGACAAAATGATGCCTTGTATAAGTTGAAGTCGAAAAGATACCACGACAAGCGCAGAAATGTGAGAAAGTCCAGAATTGCTGTTGCAGACAAGATTCTCATGAAAAACAAACGGACAGATCCACTTAGCGCGATTCCTGGTAAAGTGATCAATATACGTGGAAACGCCGTGACAGCCCGATTTGATGAGGGGACGTTTTTATGCGAGACAAGTCACATTTCAAGATTGTACGAGAGCGATCTTACGTCGAAGAACGAGAAAGAGTACGAGGAGAACAAACGTTTCAAGACAACATACTCAACCAGAGCAGAATCGATCTGAGTACGCGAGACGTCCTGCCAGATCAGATTAATCGTGACGAAGCAGATCAATAGGCCTTTCCCCTTATAGCACTAGGCGCGCTAAGCATGACGGTAGGAGTATGCAATTTGCTTTCGAACGAAATGGCTGCCGTGTGAGCGATCGATTTCGTGCGAGAGAAGAATCGGCGGATTTTTAACAACATTAAGTGTCCATCAATGTCTGTTTTCTTTGCAAAATTACGAGGAGGTTTGTCACTACAAGTGGACGAAATTTTGTGGCGATCTGAGCGTTAATGGTGATAAAAATCCGTT